AATCCTCCTACCTTATCCTCCCATGTACTGAGATTATAAGCATGTACCAAGTCCAGCTGTAATATTTCTTAAGTCTCCAGTCTTGTCCCTCCCCCCATTGCTACCAAGTGAGTTTTCAGAAATCTAAAAGTGAAGCCTCTGTCCTGCTGAAAAATTTTCAACTTTCCCCATCACTCACTAAAAGCAGGATTACCAGCTTTAGAGGAAGGGACATATTCACATACTACCTGTACTCTTGGATATTTAAACAAATCACATTTTACCTGAAATAAATTTGGCGCTGTCTTAATACTGTTGTAGAAATGGCAACTCTAATTGGCAGATTTCTTTTCTGTACTAAATTAACATAGCGCTAAGATAAGAACACACATGTACTACTCAACAACATCCTATATAACCTAATGGGGCACAGACGATCCTGTGGTAGGCACAGACATACAAGATAGTATCTCAGCCTTTGGCATGACATAATCTGGTCCTCACTGCCTTCTTCATTTTGGTCTCTGTCCCTTTGTCATCTGTATGCACACCTCTTCTGAACTAATCATGACTTGTCAACCTTGTGATATTTGTGCTTTTACCTTGGTACTCTTTCTACCCCATTTCTCCAAGCATTCTCATCTTTCCACATGGATGGAAGTGCTGTCCTCAGGATTTTTACACTTCCTTTTTATCATTAACTGAGTACTCACTACTCCCCTTCCTTGTCTTAAGCAGACATTGATTTAGTCAACACTGAGATCTAAGAATCTCAAAGTAAAATTGATAAGGACTAAAATGTAGTGGGTGTCCTGGCTAGCTCATATATCTGTCTTCGCCTTTCATTGTCTTTGAGCTGAGCTATTTTACAACTCTGAGAAACAGTAGCCAACTTGAAGAAAACTGATAGTAATGCAAATAATTCTTGTCAATAAGTCCGGTCAGGTAGTTTAACTGATTTCCATCTACTGTGGAAGAAGTCAGTTTTGCATTGATAAAGCAAACCCATTCCAACATTTCTGATGGGATTACACATTTTCAAGTCTTTGGACTCTGCTCTTTAGTGATTATAATATTTCTCTGGTTCCTTTATTAATTGAGTTAAATATAATCTTTGACATGTGTCCATCATGTATTTGTTTAGAGTCATAATTTCAACTTTCTTAAAAAAAAATATTCTTTAGGGCCACATGTGATAGAACAAACCTGTAATGCCAGCTACTAAGGAGGCAGAGATCTGGGGCTCAGTGGGAAGAGGAGTAGAAGAGTGTAGTTAGCAAGATCCCATCTCAATAAACAAGCCAAGTATGGTAGTACACGTATGTAATTCCAGCTATATGGGAGGCACAGACAGGAGGATCATGGTCTGAGCCAGCCCAGGCCTCAAAAAAAAAAAAAAAAATGTGAGGCTCTATCTGAAAAATAACTAAAGCAAGAAAGGGTTGGGAGTGTGGCTTAAGAGGTAGAGCACCTAACTAGCAAGCTCCAGGCCCTGGCGCAAACCCCAGTATTGCCAAACAACAAAAAAACTATCCTTTAAGAGTATTTGGCACAAAGTCTGGCACAAAGTAGGCAAATATAACAAATATTTGTTAATAATTGAATGAATGAATTTAGGCAAGTAAATGTGGTCTTTGCCATGGTATCAAGTATCTATGTCTAGATGATTCATCCTGAAAGTAGGGTGTGCAACACTTAGCTACTACTCCAAAATTGAAATTGAAATGAGAAAATTCTTCCAATCCTTCAGGAGAGGTCAGTAAGAATGGGCTGCATGGGATGTAGCCAGTCTGAGGGCGGCCTGAGTAGCTCCACCCCAGGGGTGAGTTAGGGAGATCACTAAGGGTCCTGGGTATGGAATAAGGGATGGAGACAAGGAAGCCATTTGTCACATAACTTCTGTTTCTTTTCCCTTCATTGTATGCAGATCCAAGGACCTGTAGGTATTCTCCTATACTGGATCTTCTCAAACCTGTTCATCTATGAAATGTATCACTCTGGCATTTTTAGTTGGCATCTACAACCAAAATATGTAAAGGAAAAAAACAAACCTATGAGTCAGTTTCCACATCTACAAGTGTTTTTTACAGATTACATCAGCAGAGTTTTATAAATTGGAACCACAAACTTCCTGCAAATTGTCTGGATTTACAAATATCTGTATCACTTTCAACTAATGAGGAAAAACTCCCAAGGATATTATCTACAAACATGCAAAAACTTTTAAGGGACATTTAAAAGGCAAATCTCCACTCTCAATTTTTCTCCTAACCTGATGTAAACATAATTGTTGATACAGAAAATGAAGCTGAATTTCTGATTATGTTGTCCTCAAAATGAATGTGGCAATTTTGAGAGTACTACTGTAGCCACATGCCACATAACATCTTGGTCAAGGACAGACTGTTTATACAACTGTGGTTCACCTAGGAATTTCATAGCCAGCTCAGGCTGTGCATGTATTATGTTCACACAATGACGAAATCACCTAATGAGGCATTTCTTAGAACATATCCCCATCTTTTTACAATGCATGATTGTAAATGATGCACCTAACCTACTTCTCCCAGACATTATACTAGTAGTACTGTTATCTCCACTTTTTACAGGTGCACAAATTGAAGTTCAGAGAGACTAAGTAACTCACTTACGGTGATACCACTAAGTGGCAGTATCAAGATCCAAATTTAGGGGCTGGGCTGGGGCGGAGTGGCTCCAGTGGTACAGCACCTGCCTAGCAAGCACAAAGCCCTGAGTTTAAACCCCAGTACTACAAAAAAAAAAAAAAAAAAAAAAGCTGGCAACAAAGATTCAAATTCACGGCTAACTTGAACATTCTTTGTACTATACCATTATGCCCTAGAACAGGACTGAAAATTATGTAGTAGAAATATTAACTTTTTTTTTTTTTTTGGTGGGACTGGGGTTAACTCATGGCTTCAGACTTGCAAAGCAGGCACTCTACCGCTTGAGCCACACCTCCAGTCATTTTGCTCTGGTTATTTTTGAAGATGGGGGAGGTCTCTTAACTATTTGCTCAGGCTGGCCTGGAACTGCGATCCTCCTATCTCAGCCTCCCAACTAGCTAGGAATTCAAGTGGGAGCTAGGGGTGCCCAGTGAAATATTAACATTTGATTGAGAAAAGCAAGAGACCAATAATAAAATGAAGTGTCAGTCTAGGGTACAAGATAAAAGATGGTGGATAGCGTGGAAAGGTTATAAAATGGGTAGGTAGATAATAAGGTTGGGAGGAGGATGAGACAATGGAGGCACTCGTTTCAGAAGTAGGAGAATGGGAAGGGGACTGTCAATACAATTCTCAGCTGGCTCTACTGAATAAGGAAGCACTGGATGAAGCTGGGAAGGATACTCTCAGGGTAAATTACACAGGTATCCATTTTAAGCCATATTCACATATGTGGAGCTGCATAAGCAACACATTGCACGAGGCAGGTTTAGAAAAAAAAGAAATCTGTTAAATTTAAATTAAAAGGTAGAATTCCAGAAAAGATTAGAATCCTCAATTTATGGCACACATAGATCATAGACTCAGAAAATATTTGGAGTACATGTACACATATGGAAATGTCACAAAACTCCCTGTACAACTATTATATACTAATAAAAATGTTTAAAAAAAATTTTTGTTCAGTGACCAAGGACAAAATAGGAGAGACTGAAAAGGCTAGCCATGTTAAGTGTGAGACTAAGTATTTGTTTTGGTAAGGCTCAGAGCCAGTGCCATCACTGAATTAAAGTGCTTTATGTACATCAAATCCTTTCACTCTGGCAAGCACTCTAAATAAACTACATTTCAGTCCCATTTTAGCAGGTGAGGCACAGGAATTAAGTAACTTACTCAAGGTCGTAAAACCTGAATCCAGCAGCACTTTCTGGATTCAAGGTTCGTGCTCTTAGCCATCACACTGCTTTCTGAACTCTGAACTTAGGCTAGAATGAAACACTTCAGTGCTGACTGTGTTAGAATGTGGTGTAGCCTGCATGGAACCTACCTCACCAACAGCTCTGAGAATCTGGGCGTCTGAATTATTGCTGCAGAAAGTCCTGCTGTCTGGAGTGATGAAAAAGCAAATGGCACCAGAAACTGAGCCAGGAAGACTTGTACTCAGGGTTACCTGGCTGGTCACACTTCTTTAAGTTGCTCGCTTCTATAACCTATCATTGGTCTTGGACGAAGGTAAGACTTAGGAGAGTTCAAGTATACCTCTGTAGCTATTCTGAATCATTCCAGGGAAGGGAATCATCTACAAGATTACCTGCTTTGACTATGAAGATTGTGGGTGGCACTCTGACCTGAAGGTAACCAGATGATTCCGGTCAAAAACACTAATTTCCCAGATCTGATTAGTCAAAATATAACACACCTTGCTTGCTTTTGCGGCGCTGGAGGATGAACCAAGGCCCTTGGGCATGCTAGGCTAGCGCCCACCACTATTTCCGAAGCCCAACAGCTCAGCTTTAAAAAGAATGTAAGTTTAGGCAGAGACGTCGGCAATTCCTGTGCGTCTATCTGAATCCCCAGCACTTCTTCCCTTTGGCAAATCCAGACACATCTAACCCTAAAACGAGGAAGCATCTGCTGAGGTTGCCCAACGCGGGGAGCTGCGAGCGTAGCCCAGCACACGCAAGCCCCGGAGTCAGCCGAGGGCGGATGGCCCGGGGGCCGGCGCGTGGGGGCCGACGACGGGGAGCTGCCTGCTCCCCTCTCCGGCGTGAGGCAAGCCTCCTCCCACGACCCCGGGAAGCCCCGACGCCGCAGGCTTCCTCGGGGTGGAGGAGCCTCCGGGGCGTAGTTCCTCCACCGTTTCCTCCCACGAAAGAACCCACCCGTCCCTTCCTGCTCCGCAAGGTTTGAAGGGCGCGCCACGCCAGGCCAGACGCGGCGGGGAAGGCGCGGCCACACGCAGGCGCGCAGCAGAGCCCCCGCCCAGGCCCCGCCCCCAGAGGCCCCGCCCCTCGGCGCGCCTGGTGCCGCGGGAGGATTCTCCGGCGAACCTGTCTCGCTCAGGCGGGTTGGGAGCTGAGCTTCCTCCACTCAGGGCTGCAGCGCGCGGCGGAGTTTTTCTTCCGCCTCCGCAATTCAGAGGCGGACGAGGGGCGAGCGGAAGGTGCAGCGAGAACCGAGGCAGGACGCGGCCGGCGCGGGCCATGTCGCTGTGGGGGGAACCGCTGCAGGCCCCGCCGCCCTCGGCGGCGCCCTCCGGGCCGTCGTTCGCCCTTCCGGCGGGCGCGACCCTCAACCGCCTGCGGGAGCCGCTGCTGCGGAGGCTCAGCGAGAGCTTGGACCGCGCGCCCGAGGGCCGGGGCTGGCGCGGCTGGCCGAGCTGGCGGGCAGTCGGGGGCGCCTCCGGCTCAGGTGAGCTCGGGCCGGGCGGAGGGATGGACGCCGCGGACGGGGCCCGCGCGAGGGGCGGCAGGGGTGCGAGCGGAACCCCAGGCCGGGGAAGGGAGGGGTCCCGCCCCTCTTTCTACCGTCGGTGCAGGGAGCTGAAAGCGAGGACATGGGCAGTCATTCCAGAGGACGAAAAGAGCCTGGGAGGGGGATGTGGACACTAAGGGGGATCGTGAGGGGGCCGTGCGGGTAAAGGGGAGTGGAAGCGAAGGATTGGCCAGGTGCAGGGATTCGTGATGGTTGCTACTTCTTTTTGGAAGGTATTGGGGTTTGAACTTGCTAGGCAGAAGCTGTGCTACTTGAGCCATGACCCCAGCCCTCGTCAAGGTTTATTTAAGAGAGAAAGACTGGACCTAAGCTCACTGCCCTCCTGCATCAAATCTATTACCCGGTTCTCTCCTTGGGTCTTTTCCTGGTGAGAAAAGCATACACGGGTAGGCTTGGCCACCACTGTTAGCGATTCTTGACGTTTAGGGTCTCACGATTTCTTGGCACTTTTAAGAATCATTGAAGACTGCAGAGAGCTTTTGTGGGGTTACATGTAATATATGTACTGATACTGCTTGAAATAAAAAACAAATTTTTGAAATATTACTTTATCCTAAAAGAATAATTCTGGGCTAGAGGCGTGGCTCAAAGTGGTAGAGTGCCTGCCTTACAAGAGTGCATAAAGCCGAGTTCAAACCCCAGTACAGACAAAATAAAATAAAATAAAATAAAGCTTGTAGGATAACAGATACAATATTTTTGCAGAAAAACATACATGTCCAAAAGAAATTTTTTTAAAAAATTAGAAAAGTGTCATTGGTTTGAATTTTTTGAAAATCTCTCTTTTTTTATTGTTTTCGTCGAGAAAGGGTTTCACTATGTAGCTTAGGGCTCACTATGTAGCCCAGACTGCCTCCGATTCATGATCCTCCTGCCTCAGGCTCCCTAATGCTGGGACTACAGATGTGTAGCACAATGCCTGGCTTGAAAATCTCCTTAATGTCTTGGCTTAATTGCATAGCTGGATTCTGTTACATGTTTCTCTGCATTCAGTCTGCCGTATCACAGATCACAGAACACTGGAAACTCCATTGTAACCCTGAAAGAATGAATAAAAATATAAATGGGATCTTAGTATTATTATGAAAAAATTTTAACCTTTCAGACCCCCTGAAGGGGTCTCAGGAACTGCACTGGTGTTCCCAGACAATACTTAGAACCACTTCTCAATATCATTGTTGTGATTTCAGCATGCCTTTAAATTTCTTAGAAGTTTTTTTAAACTTCTCAAATGACTAAACTTTGTCTTTTACTATAATTGTGTGTACACATTAAGACAGGGGCCATTTCTTATTTTGTGTTATGCATAGAATTCAGATAGCAAGCACTAGTTAAATTGAGAGTGGAGTCATTCATTCAAAATTGTATTTGAGTGCCTTTTACTAGGTAGATGTACCAGAAGATAAAAAGTTAAATATTTCATTCCTGTTCATAAGGGCTTCTAGTAATGGATTGGACATACTATATGCTATATTGGGTGTCAATAATAAATGGGGTTTTAACATATATTGAACACATATACAAGACAGTGTACTAGGTGTTTACATGAATTATTTATCTTAACCCTCCCAGTGGTCCTGAATTTCATAGTTTGGGGTGGAGGCAAAGAGTAATGATAATTTAGGATTATTGTTTATGCAGAAGAGGTCCATGTGAAAAGGTGAGAATCAAGGTGTGGTAAACTAGTTTGGCATGGTGTTTTTTACCTATAATTTCAGCACTTGGGAGGTAGGGCAGAAGAACTGTCAAGTTCAAGGCCAGCATGTGCTACATATTGAGACCCTGTCTTTAAAAAGACAGGTAAACTAGCAAAGTTGAGCAGACAAAGGGCATAAGTTTATTTCTGTTCTGTAAAATACATTGGGCTTTGGGTGTGCAAGGAAAATCCAAAGTGCTTTTATTCTAGGCCCATAAATTTCTGGATTTCTAGACTTAATCATAATGTAAAAATTTGTCTTTTTTGAGGGCAGAGCTCCAGAGTATGATGTTAACTAGGAATGTACTTAGGGAAGGCTCTGGGCTTCCTACAGAAAGTGTGGCATAAGTACTCCTATATGGTGATGAAGGAAGGGAGGAAAGTCAGTAAGGCTCTGACAGGGAGAAGCATAGCTGCTGGACTCTAAAAGTGGTGGATACCTGATATTGGGTATTAAATTTTCCTCTCCAGGTCTTCAGTTGAGTTTTGCTAAATAGGCTGCAGAACAGTGTTATTTTTGTCTAGGAGACTTAAGGAAAAGTTTGAGGCACTTTTCTTCTGAATAGTATAGAGAAGAGGTCAGTTGCCTGTTGAGATGTTTTAAGCACCAAAAGGCATGTATTTGTGGAATCTGAGAATTCAGGGTGGGAGGATTGGAGGATAATAAACTACTCTCTGTTGAGATCAGAAGAATTAAGCTGCCCTTACAAAAAGGTTAGCTCTGAGTACTTGGAGAATGGAGAGTGACAACCAAAGGGGCAGGAGCAGCTAGTGAGTCTTAAGACCTAAAAAAGTTTAAAAACTGTTTCGTACTGATGGGAGAAGAGCATCTGTGATCATAAAAAAAGTCATAAAGGCATTTTTCTCTAGCATAGATGTAGGAATTATAGTGGGAGAGTCTGGTCCAAGAAGCTAACAAGTCCTGGATGTGAAGCGCTTTCCTTATAGTCACTGGATTCACAGCCCTAGTATCACAAAAGTTTACCTCTTCTGTTTTTTTTTTTTTTCTTGTCTCTTTTTTTCTGACTCTTTACATCTTTCCTCAAACTAAATGATTATTTATTTGAGACTACAAATACATAAACCACAAGAAGAGTCCATTCAGAACTATGTACCAGAGATTAGTACTTGTAAATGTTTTCAGATGGCTATTGATGACTCAAATGAATTCTTGTTTGTAGTTTAGTTTGCTAGAGCGATGTACCTATGAGAATGCCCTGCATACAAATTCGGCCCTGATTCTGTTCCAAACTGATCTCATATTGGCCCACCCTTTGCTGTTACTTTAGATAAGCACAGATCTTCAGTGTCCGTGTAATTTCTGTGGTGGTTGGAACATCTAAGCTCCAAGGAGAGCAGAGTTTTCAGGAGGCCCTCAAATGCCTCAATTCTCTGAGCAGGGTTCTTAGAAGTGGGGCTGTGGAACATGTACTAAGGGAAAAATCATCATTGCCTGTCTGCTGTGTAGAAAGTACCCTTTTAGCTGCAGAAATCCTGCCCTTATGCAGCTTATAGTAGGATTGAGAACATTTGTTTTTAAAAAAAAAAAAAAAACTAACAAAAGTGTTCCTCCTTATCTCTATCTCCTCTGTCTCTGAATTTTGGGATGCCCTAGGACTCAGGCTTTACATCTCTTTAGTTACACTTCTTTACCTAGTCTCCTGACACTATGCTTCAGTTTCCTGGCTTTATACAAATCTAGGTTCATTGCTCCCACTATCTCTGCTTTGACCTCCCAAGTATGTATGTATTTATGTGTGTGTATATATATATATATATATATATATATATATATATATATACACATACATATATACCGGTCTCTTGCCATTTCTCTTGAGTAACTAATAGACATCTTAAACGTAGTGTGTCCAAAATTTAACATGTGATCACCATAAACCTCTTACCATAATCTGGGTAAATGGCAACTATGTCTTTCCAGTTACTCAGGCCAGAAATTTCAGTCATTACTGACTTTCGCAGACATCATTGCTGTGTCTTAAATATATATATTTAGAATCCAGCTTCCACTATTGTCTCTTATGTGGATTATTCCAGTAGCTGCTTACTTTCTCCTTCCTTCTGCTTTGCCCCCACCCCAGTCTGTTCTCAGTACAGCAGAAAAATGACTCTTTAAAAACATTAAATCAGCACATCCCTGTATTTCCAAGGAGAATTGTGAGTTCAAAGGCACCCTGTGATACATGGTAAGACCCTGTCTCAAAATTAAATAAGAACATTAAATCAGATCTTGTCTCTCTGCTTAAGCCCTCCAATTGCTTTTCCATCTCAGAATAAAAACAACATTTAACCACCAATTAACTCTTGGACCTGATACCCTGTATTGTTTCCGTCCCTTTGCTCTAGTCATTCTTGCTGTTTTGCTTTTCCCTGAACACAGTGGGGTCTTGTACTTTGCTTACTCAGGCTAACATGGTCTCCCAGATAACCACCTAATTTGCTCCTTTACCTTTTCAAGTGTTTGCTTAAAATTCATCCTCTTAATGAGGACTTTGCTGATTATAATATTTGAAATTACCCTGTAGCTCTGTTTCAGCATTATCCCTCTTGTTTTGCTTTCGTTTTTTCCAAAGCATATATGGCCATTGGACAGATTGATATGCACAGATGTGTGTGTGTTTGTGGATGTTAACATCCACTCCTCTCCTTTAGAATGAAATTCAGGAGGATTTTGTTCACTGCTGGATCCTCAATAACTAGAAAAAAATGGCCTCTTTTAGGTGTTTACTGAATAAATTAGTGACTAAAGATCTCAAAGAGTAAATGTACCAAGAGAAGCAGGGAACCCAAAAGCAGTTCTGTGGTTTAGATCCAAAAGGCATATATCTTCTATTTGGTTATATATTTCTGAAAGTATAAATAATAAAGCTGTTTTATAATTCCATATTAGGGCTTGTAGAAACCACTTCAAAGTACACTCTTACAAGAATGTAACTAAAAAAGGAAAGATAAAAAAAGTTGATTGTGATACATATCACCTGAGCTGAAAGCCAGTGCCTGTGTGGAAAATCATTAAAACAAAGAAGATAGAAAAATCTTGTTTTTCTCTGTGACTCTTGTGTTGGAAAAAAAATAGTCTCTTTCAATTTGATCTTTGTTCTTTGGTGAGAAGAAAAATCAGACTGTTTTTCATTTCCTTCATATCAATGTAAACAAAGCATCACTTGGTTGCATTTGATGAGATGACTTCTTAGTTTCATGTACCAGATCCCGGTAAACTTCTGTATTAAGTATATTTGGCATATAGCATCCTATTTACAAATTTCATAGTCTAATCATTTGAAAACATAGTAACCCTTAAATTATTTCTAAAATGTAATCGTTGGGCATTTTGAGTCTTTTTCGATTACTAACTTTGTAACTATGATTGTTCTATCTAGTGTCATTTTTGAGACATTCACTTCTCTTTCCCTTCAGAGTTCTACCAGCACATTTATACATGTCCATGTGCCACAGCTTAAGATATTTTGGCTCCCTAATGGAATGTGACCATATTCTTTTCACAAGGCAGCAGTATCTAGCCTAGTACCGCCTTCATTTGGGGTCACCTTGTACATCATCAAAAAGTAGAGAAATTTTTCTGGTTTTCCTATTCCCATTTTCAGATTAAAGGCAAAAATTTTGATCAATAATAAGGCTAAATTTCTCTAACATCTTGCTTCAAGATTTGTCTCACGTCCTTATTTAATAGTCATGGGAGCTGAGTGGAAGAAGGAAATGATAGAGAAGGAGAAAGAGCAGTAGTGTTCTCACCACTCTACCAATATGTGGAACCACAGTGATCCAGATAACAGTCATATCATGAAGAATGTCATTGACTTGAATTCAATCTGTTGTTTTCAGTTGTCTGGACCTGGAGCAATGTTCTCTTAAGGTTTTGGAGCCTGAGGGAAGCCCAAGTCTCTGTTTACTGAAACTAATGGGTGAAAAAGGATGTACAGTAACAGAATTGAGCGACTTCCTGCAGGCTATGGAACATACTGAAGTTCTTCAGCTTCTTAACCCCCCAGGTAGGTTTAACCCTTAGGAATATTCTCCAGAAGTTCATGGAGTTAAACTTAGAGAAAAATATCTCTTTTGACCAGGTAAATTGTGTTAGAAATTGTTGGAGAATATAAATGTGTAGGACCTCATTTTTCCCCCATGTTGAAATCAAAGAAGACATAAAAAGCAAATAAAAATGCATGAGTACTGATTGGGTTTTAGTTCAAAAAGGAGACATTTTTTAAGAAGTTGGAAAAGTTTGAATATAGCCTACATATTTGATATTAGTGAATTATCATTGATAATGCTATTGTAGTTGTATAGAAGATTGTTCTATAGTCCAGAAAGATGTATGCTGAAGTATTTAGGGATAAGTTTTCTATAACGTGTATTGAAATAGTGCAGCTAAAAATGAATACACATTTATTTTTATGTATTTGTGTATATGGATGAGATAAAGCAAGTAGGACAGTTGTTTGTTTTTTGCAGTGTGATGCTTTGTAAATGTTAATTAACCATATGAATTTTCCTTACATATACCAATATTGAGTGAGGCTTCTCACTTCCAAGGTCAGGTGAAAAATAGGAAACAGTCCTTCTGATAGTGGGTCAGCTGCAGTGGTATCAAGTAGGATGGACATGCCATGAAGGTTGCCTGATAGTGGCAGCACTACAGACCCCTTCCTAGGGGTCTGCTTCACTGTATGTCTCACTAGAAGCAAAAAGGCCACTCAAATAGATTATGGACTTGATGCTCTTTATTTTACATGATTTTGGCATACTCTGTTTCATTATACAACCAACTTGGTTATTTATTTTTGATGGGGCTGGGGTTTGAAATCAGGGCTTTACACTTGCAAAGCAAGCACTCTACTGCTTTAGCTATACCTCCAATCCATTTTATTCTGGTTATTTTGGAGATGAGGGGGGTCTTGTGAAGTATTTGCCTGGGCTGGCCTCGAACTGAAATCCTCTTGATCTCACCCTCCAAAGAAGCTAGTACAGGCATGAGCCACTGATGCCGAGCTCTCTTTGTTTTTTTGTTTTTTTGAGATAGAGTCTCACAGCACAGATTGGCCTGGAACTCACTGTGGAGCCCAGGCTGGCCTGGAGTTCATGATCCTCTTATCTCAGCCTCTTAAGTGCTAGAATTACAGGTGTGTATCACCACTCTTGCTCAGGTTATTTCTTCCTAAAATTTGTGAGCTTTAAAAGATCCCAAAATGTTTCCTTTTAAATAATTAACTTTCACATAACAATCAATTCCTATGGAGTCTGTATGGCTAATATGACATAAAACTTCACACAAACAGTGCACAAATGGTAATGTAGACAATGTTTTCCTTTTCCTGTTCTTTCCTCATGGAAAAACCCTTATGGGATGATCTTGCATGTTTCTTTTGCAGTGCTGGGAATCAAACCCAGGGCTTTATGCATTTTAGGTAAGCAGTCTACTAACTGAACTACATCTCCCACCCACTACGGTATGATCATGAAAAAGCTGCTGGCCAAATATCAGAATAACCTGCCCAAAGGAACACTGACAGGAAAGTGCTAATCCTATTTGGAGAAAAACACAGCAAAAATGGAGTTTTAAAAGAAAGATTATTGATGTTTATTAGGGTGGTACTTTGTGTGTGTGTATGGGTTACTGGGGTTTGAACTCAGGGCCTTGAGCTTGCTAGGCAGGTGCTCCACCACTTGAGCCACACCCCCAGCAGGTAGTACTTTCTTAGCTGCTCACTTTTTCTCATGGGCTGGCCTTGGACCATAATCTTCCTACGTATTCCTCCCATGATTCTGGGATTACAGCTTTGAGTAACTGTATCAGCCCTTAATGACAGTATTGAGAATAAAAACTATCCTACTCATATTAAGAATGTAAGCTCTGGCCAGGTACAGTGACTTACCTGTTGTCCTAGATACTGAGGAGATGAGATTGGAGGATCACCATTGGCGGCTACCCCTGGCAAACAGTTCTCAAGATCCCATCTCAACCAATAAAGGAGGCATGGTGGAATGTACCTGTCAGCCCAGCTGCCCAGCTACTTAGGAGGCATAAATAGGAGAATCGATACCAAGGCCATCCCAGTCATAAAAACAAGACTCTAGCTGGCAGTGTGACACAAGTGGTAGAGAGGCTGCCCAGCAAGGGCAAGATTTCAAACCCAACTACTGTAAAAGAAGAATGTAAGCTCTGATCAAATCAACTGAATTAATAACTTTGCTCATTCATTCAATAAACATTTGTTATATTCCATTACCTTTGCTATCCCAGGCATTAAATTAACTCTTGTGAATTCAAAAATGAATGAAACAGTAGTTTCTGTGTATTGAGATGTCATAGTATAATAGCAGAAGCAAACATACCACATTCGGAACAATTACAAAAATAGGTATATATAAACTAAGTTTATCTGATCTCCAGTTTTTACTTTTTGGTTATTCTGTATTTTTGAATCTTAGCAAAGATTCAAAGTAGAAATATTCTAATATTTTCTCTCTGTTTTATATTTAACACCATTTCACAGAAGGACATTCATTCTTACTCTGCAGAAAGTCTGGTGATTTTTCTCTGATGGTCCTTTCAGAGAGAGATGGTTAAGATTAGTAAGATGAGTTCTATCAAAGATGCTGTGAGCTTGTAACAGGATATTCAGGTCCAAACGCAAGAAGGGGAAACTGTAGATTTATTCTGACTAAAGGAAGAACTTTAGTTTTAATTGCCACAGTCCATTCCCGTTGTTAAAGAACAATAGCCAGAGATAGATCTGAGAGAAACAATGTGGAGTTTCTCTGTCCTTTGAGAGCTTGACCAGGTTACCTTTATGTATTTGTTTTGGTAACATCTATTTTTTTGTTCGTGGCAGTGGTGGTAGTGGTGGTGTGTTTTGGGGAGGTTGTGGAGGGTTTTTTTTTTTTTGAGATAGGGTCTCACTGTGTAGCTGAGCCTGGCCTTCCTGTCTCCACCTCTCAAGTGTCGGGATTATAGATAAGCACTACCACATCCAGCTAGCATTTGTTTTGGTAGCCCAGAAATAGCTAGGGCAGTGAGCTAGAAACCAGCATTAATGGTCATTAACATGAAGTCTAAGATAAGTGTAAACTCATACTAAAATTTCTGATCTCTCTACTCTGGCAAATAATATATTTTCTAAAGGAACCCATAAGACTGAGAGGTTCCCCCTCTTTTTCTGTCTGTCTGTCTTTCTCTCTCTCTCTCTTTCTCTGTCTCACTCTTGAGACATGGTCTTGCTATTTCACCCAGGCTGGCCTGGAAATCACTTTACAGCCCAAGTTGACCTCCAACTCAGTCTTCCTGCCTGCCAAGTGATAGGATTACAGGTATGAGCCACCATGCCCAGCCTGCTTTGTCTCTCTCTCTCTCTCTCTTTTTTATTATTTTTTTGGTGTTACTGGGGTTTGAACTCAGGACCTCCTGCTTGCTAAACAGCCACTCTACCACTTGAGCCATTCTGCCAGCCCTTTTTTGTGTTGAGTGTTTGTGAAATAGGCTCTCACAAACTATTTGCAAGGGCTGGTTTCGTGCCTAGCCTGCTTTCTCTCTTGTTGGGCTTTCCTACCACACATGGGTTGGCCAGTTTGCTCTTAGTCTGGTCTTCCTTGAACTGATGTTAGAGAAATTGCTTCTAGTTGTTATATGTAGCTGGTGTCTATCCCCATTTCCCAGTTCTGTAAATTGCTTCCCAATTCCATTCCTTTGGTAATCTCAGTGGGATTAGAGAAGGAGTTAAATGGATGTGCTGAAATTGTTTTGAGCAGTTCTTTTATTTAAGCTGCTAAGACTCATTCCAAAGCAATCCTAATATTAGAAAATTTTTGTTTTTTATAAGGTAGGGTCTTTATGTAACCCGTGCTTACCTTTAAATTCACTGTGTATCCCAGACCGGCCTCAAACTCACCTTAACCTCCCAAGTACTGGAATTACAGAAAGGTACACCCAGCTTCCAATATTGGAATCTATAGTTTTGGCAAATATAGATAAATTTAAATGTATAATTCATGATGCTTTTGTTTACTTTAGTGAAAACATTTTGAGTTCAGATTTATAGGCTCTATCAATTATGTAGTTATATATGTAGATCATTAAATAGATACCTAAGGAAGTAATGCCCTTACCGGGAATTGACAAATCGGAAGCCTGGAAAATAGGGCGTATTAAAGAGAATTAACATGTAAAATGTTAATGTGGGTTTCGTTAAGATGATCGTAAGCTTTCCAACTCCAGTTTTGTGATTTAGAAATAACAGATTTTTACCTATATGACAGCCATTTTATTTCATTCTTCATATAAAAGATGCTTCATTAAAGGTACTTATCAGATGACTAGACAGGGTCATGTGATTTCAGTGACTTTTTTTTTCCATTTGCCCTTGCTGCTCTTTTTAATTTCATTTCGCTTTTTTTTAGTCCAGTGTAGCATACTCATTATGTTTCCAATATTGATTTTTTTTTATTACTTTTATTATCCCAAGATAAGTCCTTGCACTTGCAAAAACTATTGCATATTATTCTTTAGTTTGGAAAATACCTTTACATTTTATCTTCACACCTTGTGAGGTGTAAGCATTTAAATTTTACCAGCAAATATTTATATGGAACATGAAATTTCCAAAAGCTGTCATTTGGCCAAAGTCAAAGTTTGTTATTGACAGATCTATGATTAAAGACTATGTCTTCTGACCCTGACCTGCCCTCAATGCCGTTTTCATAGTGGCAGAAAATTTCTAAGTTGTTTAAGAAATTTAGTTATGGATTTTTATCTCAACTGCCTCTTGGACCCAGGAATTTCAGTTTTTTTCTTCTTGCCAAGTGAAAAGAATTAAAATACTGTGTCTTTTTTATAAGGGACTTTTCTTATTTCATAGATGTCAGGAAATTGGCAATCATTTCCAAAAAGAAAATATTAAGAAGTAAAAAAAGACAAAGATGGTATGGAGGAGAATAAGGATAAGGAAGAAGTAGAGATAGAAAAAGAGTAGTCAATGAGGTCTGAAAAAATGTG